AGAACCTCCTCCCGTCAGGCAGGTGCTCATCCTGACGAGCAGAACCTGTGCCCATCCTGTCGGGCAGAACCTGTGCCCATCCCGTCAGGGCAGAACCTCCTCCCGTCAGGCAGGTGCCCATCCTGACGAGCAGAACCTGTGCCCATCCTGTCGGGCAGAACCTGTGCCCATCCCGTCAGGGCAGAACCTCCTCCCGTCAGGCAGGTGCCCATCCTGACGGGCAGAACCTGTGCCCATCCTGTCGGGCAGAACCTGTGCCCATCCCGTCAGGGCAGAACCTCCTCCCGTCAGGCAGGTGCCCATCCTGACGAGCAGAACCTGTGCCCATCCTGTCGGGCAGAACCTGTGCCCATCCCGTCAGGGCAGAACCTCCTCCCGTCAGGCAGGTGCCCATCCTGACGGGCAGAACCTGTGCCCATCCTGTCGGGCAGAGCCTGTGCCCATCCCGTCAGGGCAGAACCTCCCCTCCGCGGGGAGAATAACGTGCTCGGCGCACGTTCTCCACGTGCTCCCCTCCGCGGGGACACGTCACCGGCCAACTGCCCACCTCCGAAAGAGCAGGTTAAACCCACTCTCCGGAGATCTAGGAGCGGTTGAACTAGGGCGAAGACCACGTCCTGGTCTTTACTACGCCACGTAAGCCCTAGCAGTCATTAGGGTTGGGCCTGGTCATCCAGCCCAACTCAAATGACCGTTGGCCCAGCGCTGGGGTCTCTCTATAAATACCCTCTTCCCCAAGAGGGCCAGGTAATTTCACCTCTTCTAACTTTCTGTTCTTGCTCTCACTCTGCCCAAATTCTGACTTTGGCATCGGAGTGCCTTGCAGGTACACCCCCTCCTCATCCTCAACACCGGTGAACAGGAAGCAGCCTAACGGAGCGTGGTCATCCCGTGATCCCCTCCTGATCAGGTCAGATCAGTGGCGCCGTCTGTGGGAAACTAAGCTCCCCCGTTCCTCCGAGCAGAGAACCAAAGCTTCATCTCTCAAAACTTCAAGATCACGGGTGCCCTCCGCCATGGCGACGCTGTTCACAATTGTCCTCCCTTCGTCGAGTAGAAGACTCCGATGGGCAGGACCTGGCTGCCCACCAGCCAGTCTTTGTCCTCCCTTCGTCGAGCGAAGACTCCGATGGGCAGGACCTGGCTGCCCACCAGCCAGTCTTTGTCCTCCTTTCGCCGAGCAGAAGACTCCGATGGGCAGGACCCTGGCTGCCCACCAGCCAGTCTTTGTCCTCCTTTCGTCGAGCAGAAGACTCCGATGGGCAGGACCTGGCTGCCCACCAACCAGTCTTTATCCCCCCTTCGTCGAGAAGAAGACTCCGATGGGCAGGACCTGGCTGCCCACCAGCCAGTCTTTGTCCTCCCTTCGTCGAGCAGAAGACTCCGATGGGCAGGACCTGGCTACCCACCAGCCAGTCTTTGTCCTCCCTTCGTCGAGCAGAAGACTCCGATGGGCAGGACCTGGCTGCCCACCAGCCAGTCTTTGTCCTCCTTTCGCCGAGCAGAAGACTCCGATGGGCAGGACCCTGGCTGCCCACCAGCCAATCTTTGTCCTCCTTTCGCCGAGCAGAAGACTCCGATGGGCAGGACCCTGGCTGCCCACCAGCCAGTCTTTGTCCTCCTTTCGTCGAGCAGAAGACTCCGATGGGCAGGACCTAGCTGCCCATCAGCCAGTCTTTGTCCTCCCTTCGTCGAGCAGAAGACTCTGATGGGCAGGACCTGGCTGCCCACCAGCCAGTCTTTGTCCTCTCCTTTGTCGAACAGAAGACTCCGATGGGCAGGACCCTGGCTGCCCACCAGCCAGTCTTTGTCCTCCCTTCGTCGAGCAGAAGACTCCGATGGGCAGGACCCTGGCTGCCCACCAGCCAATCTTTGTCCTCCTTTCGTCGAGCAGAAGACTCCGATGGGCAGGACCCTGACTGCCCACCAGCCAGTCTTTGTCCTCCTTTCGCCGAGCAGAAGACTCCGATGGGCAGGACCCTGGCTGCCCACCAGCCAGTCTTTGTCCTCTCTTTCGTCAGGCAGAAAACTCTGCCGGGCAGGACCCTGGTTTCCATCCAGCCTTGTCCTCCTTTCGAAAACCTACTACCTCGAAAACTTACACGGGACCATATAGCTCGACCATGGAACGCTGAAAAGCTAAAAAATACTACAGTTAAACAACACTGCCCGCGTGGGACAACCCGCGCGAACAAGAGGGTGGACTAATACGACCACACCTCACCGACCTTACCTTAGCGGGCACTATACCTCCCCGAACAAAAAGAGAATAGCCCGCTCGACGGCACCCCCTCGATCGAGAGTCGCCGCCGCCATATCATAATCGGCCGAACGCCCAGCTCGCGATGGGATGTTCAAGCCTACAGGATAGATCACAACCGTGACCTAACTCTTGTCCGCCCAGGAAGCTACCCCGGGCATCCGGATAGTTCCCCACAATACCGGGCAACACGCACCGAGCAAAGGTCCCCCACAAAACAATAAACATTTACATCATAATGGAGCTCGGCAAAACGAGCCAACACTTAGCGAAAAAGCATAACAATCATGCACGCACACAAAACTTAGAAAGGAAAACAAGAATTCCATAAAAGGGGCACAAACCCAGAAGTCAAAACGCTATAATAAACGGGCACGACCCCGGGTGTCGAGCAGAAACGATCGAAGGTGTCGAGCATAATTTTTTGGATGTCGAGCGACTGCAATTTCGCCCTTCCCAGATGATCCATACGATCGACGACATTCTCGCATCCTGCCTGACATATCAGTGCGCGCAAAGCTATTCTCTACTTAAGTCATAGCTCTCCTGACAGCGAACTACGACTTGGGGGGCTCCTGTTCTGGACTGGGCCGAGGCTTAGCCCACAATCGAGAATGCCCAAAATCCCACTGAGGTTGGGCCCAATTGGACCACACTGATGAGCAGGGACCCATGGGCAGAACCTCCTCCCGTCAGGCAGGTGCCCATCCCGTGGGCAGAACCTGTGCCCATCCTGACGGGCAGAACCTGTGCCCATCCCGTCAGGGCAGAACCTCCTCCCGTCAGGCAGGTGCCCATCCTGACGAGCAGAACATGTGCCCATCCCGTCAGGGCAGAACCTCCTCCCGACAGGCAGGTGCCCATCCTGACGAGCAGAACCTGTGCCCATCCTGTCGGGCAGAACCTGTGCCCATCCCGTCAGGGCAGAACCTCCTCCCGTCAGGCAGGTGCTCATCCTGACGAGCAGAACCTGTGCCCATCCTGTCGGGCAGAACCTGTGCCCATCCCGTCAGGGCAGAACCTCCTCCCGTCAGGCAGGTGCCCATCCTGACGAGCAGAACCTGTGCCCATCCTGTCGGGCAGAACCTGTGCCCATCCCGTCAGGGCAGAACCTCCTCCCGTCAGGCAGGTGCCCATCCTGACGGGCAGAACCTGTGCCCATCCTGTCGGGCAGAACCTGTGCCCATCCCGTCAGGGCAGAACCTCCTCCCGTCAGGCAGGTGCCCATCCTGACGAGCAGAACCTGTGCCCATCCTGTCGGGCAGAACCTGTGCCCATCCCGTCAGGGCAGAACCTCCTCCCGTCAGGCAGGTGCCCATCCTGACGGGCAGAACCTGTGCCCATCCTGTCGGGCAGAGCCTGTGCCCATCCCGTCAGGGCAGAACCTCCCCTCCGCGGGGAGAATAACGTGCTCGGCGCACGTTCTCCACGTGCTCCCCTCCGCGGGGACACGTCACCGGCCAACTGCCCACCTCCGAAAGAGCAGGTCAAACCCACTCTCCGGAGATCTAGGAGCGGTTGAACTAGGGCGAAGACCACGTCCTGGTCTTCACTACGCCACGTAAGCCCTAGCAGTCATTAGGGTTGGGCCTGGTCATCCAGCCCAACTCAAATGACCGTTGGCCCAACGCTGGGGTCTCTCTATAAATACCCTCTTCCCCAAGAGGGCCAGGTAATTTCACCTCTTCTAACTTTCTGTTCTTGCTCTCACTCTGCCCAAATTCTGACTTTGGCATCGGAGTGCCTTGCAGGTACACCCCCTCCTCATCCTCAACACCGGTGAACAGGAAGCAGCCTAACGGAGCGTGGTCATCCCGTGATCCCCTCCTGATCAGGTCAGATCAGTTGTAGTGTGAGACTTTGGTTTTTTCTAATACACTCCCTTACTCCAACATTATTGAGCTTGATGTATATATATATATATATATATATATATATATATATATATATATATATATATATATATATATATATATATATATATATATATATATATAATTGATGTCACAAATCAATAAGCTCGTGATACTATGATAAAATTAGAATTTGACCTAACTCATTCGTTTAAAATCGACTGATAAGATGAAAAATGTAACACTATATAAATTTTTTGTAGGCTTTAATTTTAACAAATGTGAGACTTGTTTTTTCTCAATAGTAGATAGAAACTAATTAACTTCAATAAATCTATAGTTTGACAACACAATTTTAACAACAAAAATTTTAAATAATTATTTTGATCTCTCCCTTTTATTAATATTACATATATATTTTATTTTTTAATATAAAAGTATTATATGAAAAGACAAATAATATATATATATATATAAGTATATATATACTTTCCGAAACAGAAACTCTATGAGGCAGAGGATTTGTTCTTTGTCCCCCAACTTGGAAGTGTCTTCAAATGAAAAAGAGGACAATCTCCAGGTAGATTGTTTAATTGATCAAATTGACATCCTAATTACAAATTACAAATGTATAACACCATGAAAAAGAGACTCTAATACATTTCACACACATAATATATTTAATAAAACAATACTACAAATCATAGAAATTACTAACAAACAATTTTATTTCACTTGGATGATATATACATGACAACACAACCTATAAATAACTTAGTTTACAAGAAAAGCGAATTCCTTTACGAATCACTTTTGGAGATACAATTTTTTTTTTTTGCAACGATACACAAAAGATGTTGAGTCTGCAAATCATAGATTCTTCAGAATCATGAACCTGACAAGCAATGAAAAACATACTATTAGTAGAAGAAAGAAATTGTAACAAAGTGGCAATCCATTATAACGTATGAAAGATAAATTATTCCAGTCACAACAAAAACATCATAACAAAAAATTTCTAAAAATATTAGTATACTCCAAATATTATATTATCATATATTACAAAATTTATGCATGAAATTCTGAAATAAAAAACTGAAATATAGAAATAGGAGTGTGATACCTTTATAAGGAAAAGGAACTTCACCACGCTCAATGCGCCTGATATCTTCTTTGAGTACCTCATAATGCCTTTTAACATCCTCAACGGATTTTCCGACCACTTTAGCGACATTGTGCCACTTGTCAGGTGTTTCCCTGTCATATATAGCAAGTGCCTCTTCAAATAATTTGTTTTGTCTTGCAGTCCAAGATGCCATTTGAACAAGATGAGAAAATGAAACGATGGTTTGGTTTCCTTGAGAAGAAAAGATCACACTTTCTCTATATTTGATTGTAGAATGGTATGGGAAATAGATCAATATATAGAAGGAAAAGTATATAGTGTTAATTAGTGGGATGTGGAATATATATCTTCCTAAAATGACAAAGATATTATGACTGCATCTTTTGGAGAAAAAGATAAAAATGGCAAGTTGAAGAAGAGAATCAAGATCGATGGGTACACTTGGTTTAATTAAGGAAAGATACTCCATTGTGTCGTTGCAAGTTGAAATTTCTGTTTCTGTTGGTAGTTATTGGAATTACGTACTGTCTCAAAAATGATATGAATAGCAGCAAGCGGAGATTGCAACGAATCCATATTAAATTCTAATGTCAGTATTACAATATATAAGTGCATACTACGTTGAAGCTTTTCTACTACCTAATTGGATGGAGTTTGGTTTAACTATGAAGGTTTACTCATACATTTTATTATATATATATATATATATATATATATATATATATATATATATATATATATATATATATATATATATATATATATATATATATATATATATATATATAAAATCAAGATTATATAGAAATAACATGCAAACAAGCAACAAATTGCGTCTCTATTCCTTTTTGGATGGCAAAATCAATCATTTTAAAAACTACATTCATTATCCTAGGTGACACAACATTGTTATGCATGAGTCCTTGTACTCTTTGTAAAAGATTCACTACTTCTTATGCTAGAAAACCAAATGTGTTAAAGACAAATGGTATGAAAACATGTTGATTGTTGAAATATGTCTTCACATGCTTGGACACTTTACTTGAAATGACTTTGAGAACTGCTTGTCCCACAGTAAAACTTGCACTCCTCAGTCCCACCAATGGAGAAACTCCAGTCAAGTCGACGCATGCATGTTTCCCTCCTACCCCCCATACATCAAATTGGCTGACCTAAGAGTCGATTTCCCCTCCTGTGGGTCAATCAAGAAATTCAAAGGAGCCTCTTTCTCACACATACACTTTCACGCTTAAATATATCAAATAAGACCTCCCTAACAAAGTCATGTCGGTATTAGAATTATGGAAGCTTCTTGCAATGAATAATGTGTTCCCCAAATGTACCCAAGCACGCCTTGCGGCAAATAGGGAAAACCTCATGAACTGGAAGTAAGGGAATCATAAGTCGGTATTTAAGAATGGTACGGTACTCTAGCAGAGACATATGTTGGCCTAGACCATTAATAGGAATAGTAAAGAGAAAATCTTAAGCATGTGCTGCTTGCAAACAACCAAAGACTGCTTTTATATGTGTGCCCTTTATAATAACATTTTCTGAAAAGCGTTATAATAACGTTTCCATTATAATAACTTACAAAACAAAAAAAACAAAAAAACAAAAAATATGCAAATGCTCGCTATTATAGATGTGCCATTTATAATATCATTTTCTGAAATGCGTTATTATAGGGATTTCTAAAAATAAAATTGAAAACACTCGAACTAATTTTTTCTTTGTATCATCTCATTCGCACTAAAACTAATTGTACTTTGTCTCACCGGACTCTGTCATCGTTCTCCTTAGTTATTGTACCTATAGAGAAATTCTGACCATCGCTCTTATTCCATTATTTGTTTTCAGATAAATCCTTATTTTCTCATCTATCAAATCTTGTAAACACTAGTTTTTTTGCAAACTCTAAATTTTTTCACACTCACTTTCTATTATTTGTGTTTCTTTAATTCTTTCAAAGAAAAAAATGATGATTAATTGTCATTGTGTTGCATTAGGGTCTGTGAAAGTTAAAATAATTTTTTTATTTATCCTAACCAATTTAAAAAGTTTGAAGGATATTACAAAATTAATATTTGTTTTATATTGAATTTGAAGTTTATATTTCACTATAAAACAATATTTATTCATATATTTAAACGAGATCATTATTTTCCACCTTTGCACACATTAGGTATATTGGTTGAGGAAAATAAAACTACATAGTTAATTCAAGATTTGTGACTGAGAGATCTAATAATACTTTCAATCTTGTGAGACTTTTTGCAATGGATTTAATTGTGCATACCAGATATTAATATTGTTTTATCATCCTCCAAAGCATGTAGTACTTTGTTTTATTCAAATTTGTGCATATGAGATCTAATAATACTTTCAATCTTGTGAGACTTCTTTTGTCACAAAGAGATACAAGAAAGCCATAGTTTGGAAAATGGGTGACATAAAGGAAAGTGATCCTACAGTGTGCATGTAATGTATCTTGTTGAATGATAATGCTAAAAACAACATATAAAATCAATGAAGATTGGATTCCATTATAAAGGAAATGATGAAGATGAAAATCATAAATCAGTTGAATGTTAGGATCATATATCCCATTCCTGATAGCGTTTGGGTTAGTCCTGTTCAGTGTGTTCAAAAGAAGGGTGGCATGATAATGGTCGCCATTGAGAAAACTGAATTTATTCCCACAAGAACTCTGATAGAATGGAGAATTTTTAAGGATTAAGGAAAATTGAGCAAGGCCATAAGGAAAGATCATTTCACCATACCCTGCATTTATCAAATGTTGGATATGTTTGCTAGGAAGAAGTATTATTGTTTTCTTGATGGTTATTCTGCATATAATAAAGTTTCTATAGCACCTAATGATTAAGAGAATACAATATTTACTTGCTCTTATGGTAATATTACCTTTATATAATTTCATTTTGGTTATGTAATGCACCCACAACTTTTAAAAGATGCATGATGACACCATTTTCAGATATTATATAGTCAATAATGGAAGTCTTATTAGATGACTTTTCTTTTTTGATGAATTGTTTCCAATATTCAAGGATAATCTTGAGTTGGTGCTAATAAGGTGTGAAAAAAGAAATTTGATTTTGACTCGAGTAAAATGTAACTTATTGGTAAAGAAAATGGATTGTGCTTGGGTATCATATTTCCAATAAAGGGTTGTAAGTTGATCAAGACAAAATTGAAGTCATTGAAAAACTACCACCCCTAACAAATTTCAAGGGTATTTGAAGTTTTCTTGGTCACGTTGGTTTCTATAGGTGGTTAACCAAAGATTTTTCAAAAATCACAAAAACTCTATGTCAACTGCTACAACTTGACGTGATATATCACTTCAGTGATAAATATCTTAAATTTTTTAAACTCTAAAAATGGCCTCAATTTTTGCTCATATCATTGTTAAGATAGATTGGTTCAAACTTTTGAGTGTATGTGTAATGCTAGAAACTTTGAAATAGGGGTTATGATGGGTTAAAGACGTGACAAGGTATTCCATTTCATTTAATATGCAATCAAGAGGAATTATCCATTGAAGATTAGACAACCAAGAGAAAGATTTTTTTTCTTAAGTATTCACATAATCAAAAGGTATATGAGTATGTCAGAGTTGCTTCAATTGAAGTACTTCTGCTTGAAAGGTTAACTTTATTCAGACTTCACTCTTTAGAGGCTGATCACTTCAGAGTATGCTTCTTGCCTTCTGAAACTTCAGAGTCTGGGTTACCAGAGGCTGACTTTCTTCAAAGTTGACTTCTTCAGAGTCTATATCATCAAAGAGACAAAGTCTTTATAAGTGGTCTTCAGACCCAGAGTTTGATCTTCAGATGTAAATTCCTTAAGCAACTTTTCATCTGTTCTCAATCATATAATCCTGCATACTTGAACAAATGTTAGAAAACTCAATTGTTCTTTAAATACTTTGTTATCATCAAAACACAGGGGATATGGTATCAACCAATTTTCCAACAATATCCCTCTTTTTGACGATGACAAAAATAAGTATTTAAGAATAATGGTTGTTAATTTAATTAACATTGTTGACTTTATGGTCTGAGGTTTTTAAGCTCCCCCTGAGTCTGATTGTTGAGAGGGTGAAGTTTGCAAGCTCCCCCTAAGTCTGATCCAGGTTAATTAAATTCCTTTAAACAACACAATAACATTAATCTTCAGAAGCACCACAAATGATCATCAAATTCAGGTGCTTAACTACTCTTTATCTCCCCCTTTTATCATCAACAAATAGATAGAAAATAAGGTCAAAAAAGATACGGAAGAAAAATGATGTATGGGAAACAATCAGGTTTGAGTAAAAATAATTTTAAAATTACGTTTTAATTTTCCTTCGTCATCAGTAACAATGTGTAAGAAAAAATGTGATGACAATAAATGACTTGAGTGGTTGGAAGAGGTTTTGCAACTCACAAGATATTCCACCCTATTCTTGAGCCAATGAGATATAGCAATAAATACTTGGAAAGAGTTTGAAGACCAAGCATACATCTCTCTCTTTTTTATTGGTGCTCATTAATCCAGACTAATTTTACTTGTTCCCATTTTCCTTATAAAAGGCAGCTTGTAACACACAGAAAATTTCCATTTTACCCCTTGGTTTCTAAGTAACAAAAGGGGTAAAGTGACAACGGTCATGAGTTTGATCCCCAGTGAGTTCCTTTAAGGATTTCTTAAATGGCAAAAAACTTATCCCCTCAGTTTTGAAATATAATCGACGGGTAAAACAAGCTTGAGTTTATTATATCTAATGTGGATTGCTTGTATCATTTAACCCTAGCTGAACATATAATTTTTCAAATTTCTTTACAAAATAATTATATGAACAAATATATTTGAATAATAAATTAAACTAATTAATATTTTTTCGGGCATTTTACAACTCATCATTCATCTCACGTTCTTTAATTGTTAAAATCTCTATAATGCTTCTAGTTTTTGTTCAGCTTTCTTCCATACTTGTTCATTAACTGTTATTAAAGAACTTGAGATGAACGATGAGTTGCAAAATTTTCGAAAAATATTGATTAGCGTAAGATGTTTTTCAAATATAATATAATTGTTCATATTATTATTTACAAAAACAATTTAATAGATTATATATTCAAAGAGGGATTAGTGAAACAAACAATCGACATATATATAATAAAC